TTCAGAAGCATCACAGGTCCCATAGAAAACAGACTCCAGTTATAATCAGAATTGTCATTTACTTCTCTCCTGATTGTCAATCTCTTAGTTAACCTAAATAGCAAAACCAAATTCACCAAAGGTCATCTGAAACAGGTGCAGATAAAAAGTTGTTTTAGGGATGACTTACTTCTGGTAGTTTAGACTTACAAAACCTTTTTCCTGTCCACAAAGAGTATTTTAGATTTTAAGATTTAGTTCACTTTTATGCACTTGACAAATTTATTGAGCACCTTCTATGTGCCAGACATGATCTTAGTAGGAATGTAGGGATGAACAAGGGCAAGCCCTCTCCGTATGGAAGGTACATTCGAACAGCTCGCATGCTTGTATCTGGGCGGGAAGGGGTTTTATAAATGGAAGAACCGAGGCAAGGAAATTTGGTGACTTGCCCAAGATCGCAACTAGTAACTATCAAACCTGGAATTTTACCCCAAATCATTTAAACATTGATCTCTTGTTCCAAACAAGTGACTAAAGAATATTTTAAGTATATGGGTCAGATATGTTTTCATCTGCAGCTCATTTCCTATGTCCTAGATGAGTGCTCTGCCCTCACAGCCCCAGGGTGCTAGGGATTTCCTGAAAATTCTTATCATGTTTGCAGAAGTGCACCTCTGCTCAGCCTTCCTTTTTGCTTTTCTGCCAGTTTGTCCCTGCCAATCTTGAGCACACTCCCCAATCTTTTCCTAAGCCCTTCCATGCTTCTTTCTGCCAGCCACACTGCATTTCTCCCTATCCTGGTTTCTTGTCTCGGTCACTGTTTTCATTCAGCCAAGTACAGACATCTATGGGCCATTGGAAATTCTGCTTCAAAACCTTGAAAATTAGGAGCTTAACTGAATGAAATCATAAAGCTTTTTTAAAAGCTCTCCTTCGGTAGTGCTTGTCTTTGTGATTTTTACATTTATCATTTACCTTTCTTTAGCCACGCTATTGTCAACAAGCATGACCACCTTTTCTTGTTATGTGTTATGTCAAAATGATAGCCATTAAAGAATGCCTGTTTATGTCCACAAGCACAAAAGTTTCCTAATAGCAAGCATCTATTTTATCAAGGAAGTCTGGGTAAATAGGAATGCTTTTTAATCTAAGATGCAGCTCTCTCTTTCAGTGAGGATAGTTACATCAGTCCTCAGCTTCTTCTTGGCTTTTCCTCTGATGCTGAAGCAAGTACATTACATGTCTAAAGCACTCACCTCTTTCTTCTCCCCATCACCATGAGAGAATTTGGATAAAAAGAGGGTTTGAAGGAACTATCTCCTCTTGAGGTCTAGAAAACGGGCCCTCTGAGTTGACATTAAAGAATGTCTTCTCTCTGAGGCTATTGTAAAAAATTTTACATCTGTGGGGTTTTTTGTTTGTTTGTTTGTTTGTTTGTTTGTTTGTTTGTTTTCCAGTTAGGAAGAGTCTAAAAGATAAGATGGTACTTAATTTGATAAAAAAGATTGTATTTGATACCGCTTTGCTTGCCCTTCCCCTTCTTTGCCCCTGTTCCATTGGTGCTCCTTCAGTATGTGCTTAGTGAGTGAGTCGGTGCTGTGGGAAAATAAATGTGTCTATAACGTCTCAGAATGTAAATCAGAGAAATGAGAGGGAAGCAAGACCTTTCCTCTGCTTGGTCTTCTATGTTGACCAAAATTCCCACTATGAATTAGAAGCCCTCTCTTGAATTAAGGCATTTATTTTTCAAAGCTCCCACTGAATCACATATTTGGGACAAATGTTCAATCTGTTACTTGATCAGTCTATTGTTTCTTCTTCTAGTCCTGTTAGCAAAGGGCAGAGCCCTGGCATACTGGGGCTCAGGATCCAGAACGTTTCTAAATTGAGTAGGATTGGCAGAGTTTACCAAAGTATGGCAGCATATCATCAATGGCATCCGAGATGGTTTTAGGGAAGACCCAGATGGAACCTTACATAATATTGAATTCCCCTGTGTGAAAGTTAGTTTCTTTTAAAATCTCTCATTCTCTAGCCTATCTCTTTTGGCAAAGCATGGAGAGGCAAGAGTTGATAGTATTATTGAGTTGATAGTATTATTTTACTGAAATGTTATTTTCATTTTTATGGTGACTAGCCATTATTGCAAGTGATAACAGTAATGGCATTTTTCCTTTCAAAATATTTCCTTTCAAAGTAGTATAGTGTGTCAATTTAAGAAAAGTTACTTAAATCATAGTACAAGATACAGAGGTTTGTGGCAGCAATTAATTATATGGGTGACATGAGAAAACTGATTCTTGGCAACCACTGGAGTAGGGAAATGCCATTGAGAAATGCCATTGCCAAAGGCCTCCACTAGGGAAGCAAGCCACAGGCAGTCATAACCCAGTAGGGTGATGGCTTCCAGATGTAGAGTTAGAGTCTGCCTTGGAAGCTTAGAAGGCAAGGCCAGGGGAGAACCCTTATGTGGTTTATAATGTGGTGCAATCCCCGTTTTCTCTTCTGTCCAGAGAGGCAGTGTGGTGGGGCCCAGCTTTTGCCAAACTGGTGTTCTTCTTATCAGAGAAGGTAAGGAGCACTCTTCCATAGGGAGAGGGGCTGCCATAGTATCCTACAATGCAGTGGCTTGTTTGAAGTACATTTCTCAGTCAGACCTGCTCAGGGAATGCTTTTGTCACTAGCCTGATAAAAATGCTCTTCTGAAAAACATCTGTTCACCAAGAACCTGGACTTCACAGCCGCAGGACATCATTTTGTGTGTGTGTGAATTAGAGCTATTTATTCTACTTTCCTCTTTAACCCCATTTTCATCCATTTGTATGACAGCGAGTCACTGTGCATACACTCTGTGCATATGAATTTTCCAAGTAGGGCTGCATTAGAAATAGTCTGTTAGTTAATGCGATCATATTGTTAACTCCCTGCCTGGAGTTTGTGGAGCGCCTTGGTTGAGCTCATATTGCCTTTGAATGGGCACCAGACATCCCTGCTCCAACTTCTGAAATGGAAATCAGACTCATCTCCCACATACAGCAGCTGAGTGATAGCCCAGCTAGAGAGAACCATCTTAGTTAATCAGTGCACTCCAAGGGCTGCCAGGCAATTCTTTTCCGAGAAATCCGTTGATTATCAGGGTTTGACCCAGACCATTGCTGAGAGAAAGTTCATTTTAAAACTTCATGATTTTCTTCCCTCCTGCTTTCTTTCTAATGGCCTTGCTTTTCTATTTCATTTCCCAATCCTGAACATCTGAGATTAAAGAGCCTCTTTTTATGGAGTGTATGCTAAAGTGCTCTGTTAGGCAATATATTCATTACCTGGAGTGAAATGGCTTTTCACAGCCAGGCAGCCTTCTTAGCTTCCCTGCTAACTCTATATTTAAGGATGTCACTCCTTGGGTTTTGCTGGGCAATGGCTCTGTGTCAACTAGTAAAGAAAGAGAAAGTGTGTGTGTGTGTGTGTGTGTGTGTGTGTGTGTGTGTTGGGGAAGGGAAGCTTTAATACAGCTAATGAGCACATTTCCATTTTTCATTTTCTTCAGATGTTCAGTGGCTTCCATATGTCTGCTGGGCTCAGTTGGGCATGAGTAACCTTGGGTTTGCCTTTGATGGAGGACATGTGAATCCACTGCATCTCTCACTAGTGTTTATGCCTGAGATCCAATCTGGAATTGCTCTAGAAGAGAAGGAAGGGGAGGAGGAGGAGCAGGAAGAGGAGGAGAAGAGGCATAGTGTATTTGTGACTGTCACCCCACCTTTAACAAATATACTGGGCTGTCAAATGACCACCTACCTCTGAGAGATGCTCCCTGGTGGACTGTGCCACCAATATGCCTGTCAGATATGGTCAAGTGGGTTTGAAGCTAGTCCCCGTTCCCTTTTCAGTGACAATTTATTTTTTCCTCAAGTTAGGGTTTGGTGTGTGTGTGTGTGTGTGTGTGTGTGTGTGTGTGTGTGTGTGTCTCAGAGAAGAACATTTAGAAGACCCAACACTACAGTGTTGCTCCTCAGTGGCCATTTTTGATGTTTTCACTATTTGGGAATAAAAAAGAATATACATTCAATTTAGGAAGACCCCCTAATCTCTGGTTCTACAGACCAGCTTCATTAGGTAAGGTTGCTGAATTCATGACCGCTACCTCTGCTCCCTGGAGATGGTACATTAGTACCCTTGTCAGTCACAGTGGAGCTCAACAACAGCTGGCTGGGGCTGGGGCCCAACAGTGGAGAAGCAAGCATTAGATTGGTTTTATACATCTCAAATGTATCCTCCTCCTCACCCCTGACAACACACTGAGTGGAAGGCTGCTTTTGTGTCTTTCTCAGTGGAAAAGTTTGCTACTAGTAGGCAAAAGCAATATTTCAACTCTCATAAAATCATTGCAGAATGCCATGTATGTCCAGAGAGAACATCATTGCTTTATTTGTGTTCTTCATTATTTGCATGGTTGTGTTCAAACTGGAAACTTGCACTGTAATTAAGCAGTACTTTTATTTATATTGGAAGGTACATAAATTATTTGTCTGTGGCATTCCCTCCAGTTCCCTTGGAAGAGTTGCAAATCCTTTTGCTGGTATAAAATTAAAGACCAGTAAGATGACACTTGAGTAGGATGAGATGCAGTTTCAGTGAGCTTAAAGGGAAAATTTCCAAAGGCTTTCAAAGGCTTGCAGAAAATCAGAAGTAGACAGCATTCTCTATACCTGCAGCCTTTTAAGAAGAATGGTTACAGGTGCTGTGGAAATGACGTTGTAGACCCGTCGACCTACCAAGCTTTTACTTCAGAGATTATTTTTCTAAGACAAACCATGCACAAAAGGATACTGGAGAGAACCATTAAAATGGTGTATGGTATACTTTTGTTCAGGGGAAGAGCTAAATGCGGATTGGGAGGAAGACAAGGCAATCCTTTATACTTTTCTTAAGTAAAATGAAATTACTGACTGATACCACTAATTTTTTCCCCCTGAAATAAACTGTTTTTTATTTTTATTGTTTTTTGTTTTTCTCAATAGCACCATCATCCATTGCTTTGGTCCAGGCTAAAGAGGTTACCAGATACAGTGTTGCCCTGGCTTGGCTGGAACCAGATCGGCCCAATGGAGTGATCTTAGAGTATGAAGTCAAGTATTATGAGAAGGTATTAATTGAATGAGCAAACTTCTGCCCTCCCTTTCTTTTTTTTTCTTTTCTTTCCCTCCCTCCCTCCCTCCCTCCCTCCCTTCCTTCTCCTCCTCCTCCTCCTCCTTCTTCTTCTCCTTCTTTTTATTTTTTTCATCTGGTTTTTGGCCAATTATAAATCCTGAAATACCAGTGAATCTCAAAGCCAAATGCAGTTTGCTTCATAATCAAATCCAATTATGAATTTTATGTATTAAGTTGTTATCTTCAAAAACAGAAAAAATACATTGCATTCTAATGTAGCTATAATGTTTTCTTTCTGGTAATGGAATTCAAGACAGCTATTTCTAATCTGTAACCTTCTATCAGGAGAGTGACTCATAAAAGATGAAATGATGATCTGCTTAAGTAGATCACTGCTATTCAGAATCAAGGTGTGGCTTTTGATGACTTTTAATAGAAAACCAGGGAAGAAAAATTACATTCTTCCGCCTCTTAAAGTTATAGAAAGACTTATTTTTACAAATAACTTTTCTCCTTTTAAGACAGAATTCTGAAGGGAACTATTTGCATTCAAAGTTGTCTAGAAAAATGAGCAATTGTTTTCTCTTTTTAAAGATAATCATTTATTGGCTTCCTTATTAAAAGCAGAAAAAGGGGAAGGGTTTTTTGTGTGTTTTTTTTCATTGAAACCAGATTGCAACATTTTTGACATTTTCTAGACAGAAAAGTAGAAAAAGACAAGGGACTTTCTTACAGTTATTTCTGTTAAATTGCTGTGTGTGGAGTGAGAAAAGCCATCAGTCATCACCTAATTGTCTTTTCTAAAAAAGATCATGAGTAAAGATCTGAATGTGCTCAGTGTCAACAATGATCATACACCTCTACATTTCTTTCAACATCTAGAAATAACAGTAGTACTCTTAACATTGAAGAAAATGTAGTGTTTAGAGAGTTAATCAAACTCCATTTTCTTTCAGCTTCTGAGTAGATTGTCACGGCTCCTTTAATTTTGTGCCTAGATAAGTGGAGGATTTCTTTTGCCATCTTTCTCTATTTTATCTTTCTACAATGTAGGATCAGAATGAGCGAAGCTATCGCATTGTCCGGACAGCTGCCAGGAACACTGATATCAAAGGTCTGAATCCTCTGACTTCCTATGTTTTCCATGTCCGGGCCAGGACAGCAGCTGGCTATGGAGATTTCAGTGAGCCTCTGGAGGTCACAACCAACACAGGTAAGAAGTTCTGAAGTTCTTTTGACCATTCAGGGCAAGTCCTATTGCAGGAAAATCCAAGGTGTTGCACATCATTTTTGGTGAGGCAAATGTTTTGTGCAATGAACAATGACTGTAACTTGGAAAATGTCATGCTATTTAGAGAAGAGCATTTTAAAATAATATTATTTGACCTGTTTTTTCATGTGATTGAAAAAGAAAGTCTGTTTTGTTTGTTTTCAGCATTCTATAAACCATGAGAAATGAGATCACTGAACCAATTGAGAGTTGCATAGCTAGGAAATTTTCCTCCTGGGAAGACTGGAAAAAGGGCCATTTTTTTCCCTTTCCTATTTGTTTCTAGGAATCTTTTTAAATCAAGTCAGACCATTTTTGTTTGTTTGTTTGTATGTGTGTGTGTATTAAAGCCCTTTTGGACAAATATATCAGCTCTTTCAACATTGTGAGTTGGACCAACTGGTTGATTAAGTAAAAAATATTAACAGAGGGTGTACCCATCAATAAGCAGGTTACATAAGATATCTCCACATCCATAATTAACTAACCAAAATTGAGCCCAGTTGGTAAGGAGATGGTGGAGTAGAATTTTTGACATCAGTTCTAGAAAGTAATTATATTCACAAATTATTAAATAAATAAAAAAAGAACAAAAACAAAAGCAGAGGAGAAAGTACTCCAGAATTAAATTGGTAGGGGTTTGACATCCTTTGGGATTATCCTGGAAGCCTTCAAGGAGGAAGTGGCCTTTGAACTGGACACTAATAGGCAGGTTTTTGATAGTTTTGGGAGGTGTGGGAGGGAGAGGAACATTCAAAATTGCTTGTCCTTTCTGAAATTTCCCACTAAGGAGTGCATCAGATTTTTATGTAAGAGTTAGGAGTAAGAGAAGAAAGGAAAAGAAGAAGGAAAAAAAAAACAACCCACCTTCCTGGTGATGTTTACCACAGGATTTAATAAGAATCTTCTGGTTGAATTTTTTCATGCAATTATGAAAAGAATGCCCTTGTCTCATTAAGGCTGCCTTAGAAAACGCTGTTGCATGAATACTTAACGAAGGGCAAAGAGGCTGTGAGCATTCTAAATGGCTTCAGACATTTGAAACTTGTGACCCAGTCAGAAGTGCTCCCTCTTAGGACCTTCCCGAAGGTGATCCTTGTGTGACTGTCTTTACCAGTGCCTTCTCGGATCATTGGAGATGGGGCCAACTCCACAGTCCTTCTGGTCTCCGTAGCTGGCAGTGTGGTGCTAGTGGTCATTCTCATCGCAGCTTTTGTCATCAGCAGGAGGTAAGCACTTAAGCCACTCACTGAACCACCCTCCCTTCCCAGTTTTTATGAGGGAGCTTTTTGTCCCCTCCACACAAAGCTGAGGCTTTGATTAGCATTATAAACACAACATTTGCATCTCAAGCCCCATTCTCTTGGCTTTGATCTCCCCACACCCCTCCTGGAGCTGCTGACTGTACCCTGGTGGGAGCTCTCAGAGTTGAGAGCCTGGAAAGACCCAACTAATTCCAGGAAACCAAGCTGCAAAGCAAGCCGGTGGGAGACTTCTAGATGCTCTAAGCTGTAAGGTGTTACATTTATATGTCTCTTAAGCTTGGACTTACTGCCAAAGGCAAAAAAGAGAAAGCCTTATAAAACTTGGGACCAAAATTTGTGCTCTGCCATTTGTCAGCTAAATTACTTAACCACTTTGAGTCTTGGTTTTCCTTTTATTAAACAGGGGTAATGATATCTGCTTCAAAGAGTTATTGATGGAGACATTTGATAGATAAAGTAGATCATATGGCACACAGTAGGTGCCTCAGCATTTCCAGACAGTATCCATTGAGTATATTGTAGGCAAAGCATTATTCTTGGAAATAAATATAAAACAGCCAATTACTTAGTCTCTGTAACTTTACAATCTAACGTGAAACTTTAAAAACAATCTAGAAAAGAAAGAATTAAAAATGGTTTGGCAGCATTTGAAGCAGTTTTTCTTATTGCTGTTGCATCCATCTGCTTATTAACACTGCCTGGAGCCTCTGGAGGGAAAGAGGTGGTAGGGGCGGGCAGCTGCTCTTCTTCAGCCTGTGCCCACATCTAGGCCTTCTTTATGTCCTGTGAGCAAAGCTGCCCCTTCTCTGATCTCATGCCCGTACCATCCACTGTTTCACAAGGTGAGGCTTTGGGGGAAACAAACAAACCCACAAAAAATGCACAATCTAAAAATGTCAAAATGATCCTCTGAAACATAAGCCTTTCATGTTAGGGAAAAGGAAAATGATACACAGAGAGATGTACTACTTGTCCAGAGTCAGGACACTGGCCTAGTGGCAGAGCTTCTCTGGGACCAGAAGCCATGCCCGGCTCTCAGGCCACTGCAGCATTATCTCTCTCCGCCTCTCCTGTTGGTGATCTCACTGATGTCACAAATATGCCTCTGGCTATTTCCAAATATTCCTCTTGGCAAGTGACCATGCCTTTCCCTCGCTTTGGTAATACATTATAATTAAGGTGATGACCATATAGCTTACTTTGCCTGGATATGGTCCCAGTTGTCACATGTATTTATTCATATCACTCTCCAAAATTCCTATTATATAGAGATCAATTTTGATCACTTTAACATAGTATAGAACAACTCCTCATGGTGTGTGAGAACCTACATTGGTCATCCTGCTAGTTTTTGTTGGTGCAAAGTCTAAACTAGATAAGTTTGATCAGAGTATCTGGTTCCATCCTGAAGAAGTTAAATCTACCACAACTCTCATCCTTGTTGCTATAATGCACATATCGATGTATACATGTCTGATCCATCCTATGTGACGGTACATCTTGGCCTTCGGACATTTCAGCTAGCCTGAACAGAACTTGAATTTCTAGTGTGCTTTGCTTCCCTGGCATTGATTTTGGAAGTAAGTCAAGATGGACTGCTTTCTTGTCCATTGCCATTTGATTTTGTGTATGTATATACCTGCCAGGCATATAAACACTTGGGGAATGGTATGCATTAATATATATTCATCTGATAGTGGGAAACAGAGGTCAGATGGGGGAGAATAAAAATTATAGAGCATTTCTTTCATTATTACATATTTCTGCATTTGAAAATTTCACAGTATATATAAACAACTTCTGTTATCAGAAAATGTAGATGTTTAAAAGTCTAAAAATAGAAAACCATTATTAATTACCTTAACTTCTAAAAAATATTTGGTTGAAATCCAGCACCATGTGATTCTCAGAACCATTTGAGACAACTCATGTTTCCAGGAAGTGGGTCTCTTCTTGTGTCTCCACCTTCTCTCTGATGTTGGTTGGAAGCATTTTCTAGTTGTAGTTCAAATTTCTTGGAGATTTACCTTTTAAAAAAATAATTTAAGTTGCCCTGAATATAGCAGTCAAACCAGAGTCATAAGTCACCTCATTATAAGTTTCTCTTGGATGCTCTTCTGCTTGGATGAAAAGGAAGGGAAATGTAATGCAGGAAGACAAGTTTATTAAAAGCCATAGCTCTAGAAAATAGCATCGCAAGCCTGATGACTTAATTTCCTCTCGGCTTTTATTGATCACTTTATTATTTAAGGCAGGATTGATAGCAGGATGCATTGGATTTCCAATTATGAGTCCCCACCTTAGAGAATTGAGCCTGTCGAGTTACCCAGCGATGATTCCTGGCCCTTCTTCCCCATTAAAAAAATAAAATAAAAAAAATGTCACTTCCCAAGGCTGATAAACACTGCTTGGTGATTGGTCCTCAATGGATCATTTTTAGAAAATGAAATGTCAACCCCTTGCCCTCCTATTGATTCTGCTTTAGTGTCGGCCATAAAGCTGTCATGGGGAAGGCTGCCGGGAGCCAGGTAGCGACAGGCTTTGCTGGGGCGGATGCACACTCAGCTGATTCTTCTTCACACGCAGGCGTGTGCTTTGTCATGTTCCTCGGCAAATGTTGAAGTGGGACAAGAACAGGTGAAGAGAGGAGACAGGTCTTGCGGATAAAAGTCTGGCCCATGCTTTTAGTGAGAGTGCAAGTGAAAGGTGGTAAATGGTACCCCCAAAGTAATCTCGTCACACTGCAGCCAGCAGTTCAGGAAAGCAACAATGAGACTCCCTCCCCTGGAAAGTGATGGGGCTGCTTCTGGCTTCTTAGAGCCACATAATAATGATGGCAGAATGGATGCTAGAGACAGACCCCTTACAGAGTGATTCCCCCCCACCTGAATCCAACACTGCTGATGACATCTGAGGGTTTTAAGATGGGCAGGGACCCACAGCGTGAGTGAGAGAAAGTCTGAGTACCTCAAAGAGAAAGTCTGTTTGGTGCTAATTTGTCCTTTAACAAGAGGAAACGGCCTCAGGCTCACAGCTGGTATCTTACTAGATTTTTTTTTTTTTTTTACTAGTAATTGTGTCATTTATTTCATCACATTGGGATTATGCTAAGAAGCCTGAGCTTTAGGCAAGCCAAAGTAAGCTTCAATTTTTTTAATGAAAAGATCCACATTTTTCTTTTGGCTAACTTGGATGTGTAAACATTTAGGGATCTTAGTGACAGTCTAGCTACTAAGTTTATAAACTTTATATATTGAAAATGATATGTTATGCAAAGTACGTTGAGCACGATATGCTGTATGTTTTTACCGCCCACATTATGTTAAGCAAATTAACTTACCTTTTTTATAGGCGTCTTTGATTAGTATCATCCCCATCAATCCAGTGATATTTTAAGGATTCTGTCAGCTTTTTGGAGAAGACAATTGTACTTGCTAACTGGATTGTTTATAAAGTGCAGCAGTTCTTGTATACCCCAAGAGATGCTATCCCTAGAAATGTTACTGCAAACCACAAATGCACATTCTCTTAGCAGACAGCCTCATTTGCCCATTTGCCTATAGGTACATATTTGTAAACTCTACAGTGCAACCACTTTATTGCTTTTTGAAGTGATTTTTGGAAAGACTATTAACAGTGACATTATAAAATGCAATGATGAGGTCAGAAGCTTTAGGATGAATGATAAAATGTGTTAAATTTTTCTGACACTCCATCCCCCTTTATATTAATGATTTAATTGGGTTTCTTCCAGAAGCATCACAAATAGTATTAATTTGGGTTGCTTTAGGCTAGTGTATCTTCCCCAAATAGTACTTTATTGTTCGAGTATGAAAATCCCTTTTAAGAAAGGACCAAAACACGGGATGACTCTTTTCTAAGATCAGAAATAAGTATTGGCTGATAATCGAGCATAGCTGCTTTGATACTGACCTTCTGATGATTGCAAGTGACTCTGGGTTTCCATTTATATTAGGGGTATAAAGTACTCTTTTTACCTGAATTAAGAAAAAGAAGTGAATTGACTTTAAGAAAAAAAATGAAGTGTCTATGACAAAATTTGTGGAGGAGTTACACCAATGTTTCTTGTTTAGGAAACTGAGGAATTCTATCACTGCCATCTCGTATATCAGGAACTTGAGGACTAGAGAGGCGGTTAAACAATCAACTGAACCAAGGTCACATAGTTGGTTAGTTGCTTGATCCGGACAGGAATCCATCTCTCCTGACTTCCAATACTGGCATAGATAGATTATTTTAATGTCTTCTTAACTGGAAATTTGACCTACATCGAAAGCTAACATCGACAGTTCTATCATACCAAAATTGTAAGAGTCTGTCAGTGATGTTGGTAATAGTTGTAATCTGTGAATTAATGTCAAGTCTAATAATGCATACTATAAAGTCAGACATTGCAAGTTGGTTTTGTCTTCTTAGGAAGGTTAAGGTTTGCCACTTTGAAGCCAACTGTTCAAGTAGTGCTAAACCAGTTACCATTCAGTATGTATCTGCCTTTCCCTGGTGTCCTCATTGGAATATTATGATCACGTAGGAATGAATACACTTAAATGGTAGCCTAAATTGGCTCTGATGAAGCCATGTAAATTCATACAATCAGGGGCAGATGGTACTGCAGGAACATCTCCAAACGACCTTCCTGCAATCGTACAGTTCAATTCCAACCATTTCAAAACGTTGCTTGCAAAGAACATTTAGCCATCATTTGGTTCAAGAACAATGACAACTTAAGGGAGGGAATAAAGTAGGATGGCGTCTATGAATCATCATGAGTGATGCCACTGAATGCTAGAAAGGGTTCTCCTGGACCCAGCTAGTTATGGCCTTGCCTTATCTTCTTCAATCTGCAATTTAGCTGAATAAATTACTTACCTTTTACTAATTAGTTTTGGAACAGTGAACCACATCAATCAAATCCATCCACTTGGTCAGGGAAGTTAGTATTTTAATAAAAGCTGGGTTTCAGCTGCGCCCCTGGTCTCTCCCCTCCACTGTTTGGTTGGGAGGGCAGCACAGGGGCTCCTGCTGATCCTCAACAAAGTCTGTTAATACTCTTATTGTGCCTCCCTTTGACAGAGGGAGGGCTTAGCTCCTTGGCTTTCAAAGTTTCACCTGCAGAGGGGACACTTTTCTGTGACTCCTGCAGTTGAAAGTTACCATGTTTCCTTCTGGAGCATTTGCTAAGCAACCACTCCCCTCCTTGCCCTTTTTAAATCAGCTTGCCCACATCTTAATAATTAGAAATTCTTCAACAAAGGTTTCCTTCTGCCATTCAGGTGATCTGCCTCGGAGATCAGTATGGAGTTAGCACATCCTGGGTCAGCCAGCCTGTGGTTTCCTCCAGGCTGGCTGACCCAATAAAACGCTTCAGTGGGCTTGCTTTCTTGGGACAATAAAGGCCACATTGTCCTACCCTGAGACAAGGAGAAAGGGTCATCAGGTGACAAAGGTAGAGCAGGACCGAGGCATTTGAGTTTTCAAGGTATTATTAAAAAGCTAATAGGCTACAATTAGCCTTTGAACAATAATTCCAGTGTTTCTTTTCCAGCATTCCCTGTACTTTTGTAGGGTCCTCTCCTCCGAGTCACACTGCAAAGTAAAGAAGTTTTGCCTCTAATTTAATTCCCCCTCCAGGTTTAGGAGTCTAAGGAAAGGATGGACATGTCAGCCTTATAATTAATGATCCCTGCCATTTTGCATTTCCTCCGGCTTTGCACGTATTTAATGAATGTGCTAGATATGAAACAGATAACCCCACCCCTGGGCAGCTTGAGGCCCCTTGTTTCTATAGGTGCATACCAGCGTTTTTTATGAGCTTAGTTGGTACCAAAGCTCTCCTGCTGTATGCATTTCCCCTCCCCTGCCTCTTTTTAAAGGAGAGATGTTCCAATCAGTATTGGAGATCTAAAGTGGTTTAAAAGATACACTTGTAATTTTAGATAATGCTTTTAGGAGCTCTGATAAGATACAATCTCTGAAGCTGGCAGGATCCTATCACTCCCTTGGGACAAAGCCAGGAGGATTTTCCCTGACATGAAATGTTATTTTCATGGTCCCTGACTTAACACTCCTGTTTCCTTTAAAAGGGGAAGGGTGGGGAGAGGTTTGGATGGGACTATATCTTTCTTACGAATGTTTGGTTGCAGCATACTTAAATTTGCTTGGTTTCCTTGATGAAGAAGTGGATTTTGAGAGCAGAGTGGAATACAATTTAAGTGGATTTACTGATATAAAATATAAAATTACTTTCTTTAACTCTCATGCTATCGTATAGCTTCATCTGCACTATGAGAAGTATGTGAAGTGTGAGCCAGATCAGGGCAGACACACTCCAGTACTTGCTGAGAGGGTCATGGGTGAATCTCTTCCCTGCTGCCCCCATTCCCTTGTCTGTACAGTGGGACTGAGTGTGTGTGTGTCTGCCTGATTGCTCTCATAGAGTTATGGTGAAGATGCAACTAAATAGTAGATGTGAAGACTGTTCCAAAAGTGAACTACAAACTAAAAAGACAAACTGTTATTTGGGACTGAATTAGACATGCTTTGCCTTAACTATCGTAACTAGGTCTCTGTTTACTAAGCTGCTTCCTGCTTTGCAAACAGTTAGGGGAGGAGTAATGAGAGCACTTTGAAACGTTAAATACAGTGCAAAAGTGCAAGGTGTTATTATTTGCAAGGGAATTACACACACTGAGGGACATCTGTTGGCTCTGAGGGGCTGACTGTGGAGCTGGCTCCTGCATTGCTGACAATGAGGAGAGGAATGCGGGTGAGTGGCCTGGAACATGTGACCGTGACAGGGCTGCCTCTGTCCTCGCCCGGCTTGATAGGTTCTCCCTTGACATGATCGTCTGCCCTCTCTATTTGGTCACAGTCAGGAATTGGTTACCAGATTCCAACAGGACCACACTGGCCTGCAGGGAACCTTTGTCACCTCAGAGCCTCAGTTTCCTCATATGTAACAGTCTTGACTGATCTCCTCTTTAAAGCTCTGAGAAAATACAAAATGATTATAAACTCCAATGTCAACTTGACATTTTTGACAGAAACATAAATGTACGCATTGTATGCATTAATTTGGTCTCATCTTTCCAAACTTTAAAGATCTGTAATAGCAACTGAGTTAATTTTTCAACTTCTTTATGTGATATTTATACACATATATATGCACACACATCCTATGTAATAAAAGCCTAATATGCTAAGTATCCGACTGTTTGTTCGACCATTCAACCATGAACTATGACGCGCACTGACCACTAAGGGGGAGATGCTTCAACTGGTGGTTTAGCTTGCTGCTGGGGTCCGGCCAATTGGGACTGGGAGAGATGGGTTAGACACGCCCTGGAGCCCTCCTGCAGTTCCTCCTCAGCCCCAATCGTGCACCAGTGGGGTCCCTCGGCCTGACCTGCTCCCTCTAGCAATCCTGGATCCCCAGGGGATGTTGGAGAGCCAATTTTGGCCCAATACTTGCAGGCCAGGCCGAGGGACCCCACTGGTGCACGAATTCATGCACCAGGCCTCTAGTACATATATAATGTATTAAGACTACTGGCTTAAGTTTTATATATAATAAAGATTTCTGATTCCCAAAACTTTATAGCAAAGCCAGATCTCACTCCTAGAGGGTATTTGGAAAAATAGTGAATGCCAACTGCAAGGCCATACACCATTTTTTGGAAAGAGAATTAGACTACAAATGGAAACTTCTCATTTTCACTTTTGCAAATTTTCTACAAACTCTTAAGGAATGTAATCTAGTACAAAGAAAATATTTACCCTTGAAAGTTCCATTAATAATTGAGGATTTTTGTATGCAGCAGCTGAAACCAATAACCACAAGACTATTGCTTTAAGAATATCATATAATATGATAATGAGTTACCTATCACATACTGAACATTATTGTTATTTGATTTATGCAACATTCTTCTATGGAAACTATTTTAACTTAGAATACATATGTGGAACTTAGCCAATAAATTTATAATCTATCTTCAATAATATACATTTCTTTGAGGATTTGAAGTTGTAATTTTTTATAAAATATTTGCTTTATCACCTCATTTTAATATAGTGGTTAGGAGCAGAGGCTCTGTGCTCTGACTACTTGTGCTGGAAACCATGATTCACTAACAAGATGACAGATTATTTACCTTGTTACTTCACTCCCATAAACCTCAGTTTTCTCATCTGTGAAATGCTTGACATATTATGGTATCAAAAACTTATGTTCTTTCAGCTTTTGAAATTTGTTTTCTATTTTAATATTTTTTAATAGACGGAGTAAATACAGTAAAGCCAAGCAAGAGGCAGATGAAGAGAAACATTTGAATCAAGGTACGAAACATTGGATTAGAAATAATTTTAGTTTTAGACCATGTCTCCTGTTTTCAGTTTAGAAATATCTGAATAATATTCACATAGCTGTTCATATTATATTTCTTTTATAGGATTATCTGAATAATATACTTTGGGGTATCAAACTAAAATAGGTCAATGGGGATTCTTGAAAGTGAGATTAAAGATGGGGGTTGGGGAAATTCCTTTAGAGCCTTTCTCCCCCACTTTTTCCTTCTTTTATCCTCCACTCTGAAAAGGTATTGGTCTAGCTCAGTGGTCGGCAAACTGCGGCTTGCGAGCCACATATGGCTCTTTGGCCCCTTGAGTGTGGCCACGTAGTTTCAATCGCACTGTATGTGCGTGCCCGCATGTGGTAGTTTGTGGAAGAGCCTCACTCAAGGGGCCGCAGTTTGCCAACCACTGGTCTAGCTGTCTCATTTTTGTAGTTGGGTGGCAATAAACAGGTAACAAATTTTTTTTCACATTTGAAGGTAACAATTTTGAAGAAGGGATAAGGAATTGAGCTGTAATTGCTATACCTCCTCTTCCCCCCAATATGTAAAATTCAGGACCATCAATATTTCTTTAGTGAATTTTAGTTCTTTTGATCCAAAAGGGATCAATGAATAAATTCAAAGAATTGGCTCTAGAATGACTTGAGGAAGAGACAAGACTCTTAAGTGGACAGAGGTTGATAACCCTTCAGGAACACTGTTCATTAGAAACTCTGAGATGATAGCACAGTGCTCTCCATCTGCACTGGCCAATATGTTAGCCAACAGCCACATGTACTGTTAGATACTTGAAAAGTACCTAGTGTGAAGGAGGAAGTAAATTGTAAATTTTATTGCATTTTAACTAATTAACATTTAAATAGCAACATGTGGCTAATAGGTCCCCTATTAGACAGAGCCTGGAGGTAAAAGGAAGAGAGAGGCTAGCAGTAGGAAGAATAATCTTGAGAAAGATTTTCTTGGGTGGAGTATCTAAAGTCATAAAGGCTATGTAGGGCTTGACAACTTTTTATTATTTACCTTGTTTTCTTAAACATTTTTTAATTTGCACGATGTATATATTTTTAAAAACAAAAATGTAATTTTTCTGTGATAAGGATAAGACTGACAGGCCCAAAAAATCAAAGGGATCAGGACATTCATTGTCTTACACCCTCTCAGTGCCTCAAAGCCCCAGGAGCTCAGGCAGGGGAAGGAGAGGTGTGAATGCCTGCAGAAAGTTCCCAGGAATTATAGTGCAACCCCCTTGTGGTTCCAGAGGTCACATTCTAAATTTTTTTGCAAGTGGCTGTGGGATATGGCTAAATGACACTTTCTGGTATTCAAAACATTCACAGTTAGGCTACATTTCCTTAGCTAAAGCTTCCAGGTGAAGCTTCAATGTCTTTACTTTTTCCCAAAACAGAAAAAAAAAGTGGAGATCCAATGGAGAGGCTATATTCTCAAAACAATTTGCTGAGATTATCCCTCTTGTCCATTTTCACCTAGGTTTAATCTTACTTTGTTAATTGTTGGTCACACATTTAGTTGGTCCAGATATTGGGCAAAAGGGTGACACCATGTAGACAAGGCCAGTTGAAAAAGAAAGTTCTTATTATCTCACTAAAGGAGGATAGCTGGAGATGGTGGGTAGGATAAGGACAACTGATGACGAAACAATATTCAGCTAACACATTCCAAATTTCCTTATAGAACTCTCATTTTCTCCCTGGGATGAGTTGTTTTTTTAAAAAAATTTGTCCTTGGAGTGTGAAGATATTTCAGGAAGTCAGGAGACCTGCGGCCTCTTAAGTAGTTAACGATTCTTTGTTTACCCACTAATGACAACCAGAGCAAGAATTTAAACTTTGTCATATGTCTACACCAAGTCTGTTTTATCGTGCTAAGAAAACGTTCCCTGTGCTAAGTATTTGTAGACTTAAGTTTATTAGTGGCTCCTGAGAAGTGTTTGGTCACTCTATCATGTGTCTATTCCTTAGGTGTTAGAACTTATGTGGATCCCTTTACATATGAGGATCCCAACCAAGCAGTTAGAGAATTTGCCAAAGAAATCGACGCATCCTGCATTAAGATAGAAAAAGTCATAGGAGTTGGTAAGTGTCTGTCTAATAAACCTATTTTCTTTGTGGGTATTAAATATCCATATATGATTATATAAATGCATATGGGTGTATCGTGCGTACATGTCTATATGTAAATATCTGTGAACATGACATTTCCTGGCTTTATGTAAAACACTAACACTGTGCCTGGCGGGTAATAAGCACTCAACAAATGTTTGCCATTACTCTTTCATCTTGAATGTGTTTCTGGTCCACAGTCAATTCTTTTTCTCTCCCAAAGGTGAATTTGGTGAAGTCTGCAGTGGGCGTCTCAAAGTGCCTGGCAAGAGAGAGATCTGTGTGGCCATTAAGACGCTGAAAGCCGGTTATACAGACAAACAGAGGAGAGACTTCCTGAGTGAGGCCAGCATCATGGGACAGTTTGACCACCCGAATATAATTCACATGGAAGGCGTCGTCACCAAATGTATGCGGGTCACTCCCTTTACAAAGCCAAGTTAGAAGTTCCTGGCAAATTAAACACACATTTCTTTCCAGGGAAATGACAGATGGAGCAGCCCCACTGATTGCTAATAGGAGGAAATCAGTGCAGGACAAGTCATTAATCTTGTAGTCAGCTCTAAATGGGTCTATGGTTTAGGCTGATACCACTCTTTCCAAGGCAGCTTGTGTGAGATTTTAGGGAAATTAATATTGCAGATTTTTGGTATGCCTTGCCATCTTTCAGATCTTTGCTAGACCCAACTGACTGTCACAAGGTAGGCACAAGCAGATGGTAAGCACAATAAATGTTAAGTACTTTTCATATAAAACACAACAAAAACCTCGCCACACCTTGTGCTCAAGGCTTCAGTTCCAGATGCGGGGAGTGGATCTTGGGAATCTTTATTAGGCTGGGGGATTTGCTTGTCTGCTCTGCCTGATTTATGGCTGCTGCAGTTCAGCACCCAGTTACAGTAACACCTGGTTGAACTTTCCTTTTTTAGTCCATTAGCATTCCCTGAGCCTGCGAACCACGCTTCAGTTAAAACACAACACAGCTCCACAGATGTATTTTACAAAGCAAACCCTGAATGCATTGGTGAGGCTGGCTAAGACCAACTTATAAAATGCCACATGGACAACGCAGCTGAAGTGGTTATTACTGAAGGTGGCTCTGTTCCAGGAGCCTTAGTACCTCCTACAGTTCCTACAAGTCAAGGATCCTGTAAGTCTGGGACTATGGCTCCGGCAAGCCCAGGGTGCCTCTTACTTGATTCGAGGTGCCTGTGAAATGCATCCTCAGACATCGTGTCTAAAGTGGCTGCTCCAACAGGTGAAGGGAAGGAGGGAGGGTTGGTTAAATATTAAACATTGGACATTAGACCTGAGGCCAAGGGGGAGGTCTGACACAGGGCATAAAATCTTTAAGAAGAGAAAAAAAGTGACTAAAAAGTGAGAAAGTATACACTAGTTCAGAGGTCCCCACACTTAAACATGCATCAGAATCCTGAAAAACGTGTCAAATCAGTTTCCTGAACCTTGTCCTCAGGTGGGGTGAGGTCCAAGAGTTCAAATTTCAAGCTGTAAGATAAGCCAAAGGTGCATGCGGTTCCTGGGACCACACTTCAAAAACCTACGTTTAGCCCAGCGACCTAAGATTTACACACTGGCTAAGCAGGTGGCCTTGACTCGTTGCTCATATTTCAGTTTCCTCATCTGTAAAATAGAGATAACGTAGAACTTGCCTTAAGGTTTTTTTGGATGTATTATTTAGGGTGGTTAGCATAATGCTTGGCACATAAAAAAACAACAAACTCTAAGTGTTAGCTGGTGTTATCATGTCTTAAGAAGTACATCTTCCCCATATTCAGAATTCTTCAGAAAAAGGATCTTTAGGGAGAAGGATATACAGTTTTTCCACCTAAGGTGAAAGCTATAATTAGCATAGAATAGCTCTATTTGCTTTTTAAGATTAGTTTTACAGACAGGATATTTTTCTGTTGCCTGTGGCCTTAGGGGCTGTCCAGAGTCCTTCACTACTTTAATTAAAAGATAACATTCCGTCTAAATACTTCTGCAGGTCCAGTTTCTCAAAAGGAGGCTCTGTTCAGCTTGGGGTGTTTTTCTGCGGCAGACAGTGATTTTCACAGCACCTCTGTAGAAGAGAGAAGAAACAGGGGATCTTTGTGTGAAAGTCCCACTGTGCCTCTAAAACCCACAGCTATTACAGCTGTAACTGTTATAAACGACTGGGTGCATTTGCATAATGCAGTTGTCACTGAATTAAAATGATTTAAAATTTCCACCAGAGGCGCTGTCCCCTCCCCCCACCTCTCTCCTAGCCACCCGCATCCCCCTCTGTTCCAGAGAAGGACCCACTTCCACCCATGAGCCCAGCCTAGGCCAATTTTATAAGCCCCTTTGCTTCTGCAGATATTCATCTTTATTTCTCTTGTAGAGCTCATAAAGATTCTGACAAATGGATACTGTTAATAAGCAGAAAAAGGAATGTAGAACAATTGTGAAGATGGTGCCAACAGTCGGACTAGGGAGGTGTGAGGGTGAAAAGGTGGCCTGGAAGAGTGTGAATTCATTACCAGCAGTTACTTGAGTAACTTTTTAAATTGACAAGGAGACTATTAATTCTCCGCACTACCCCCCTGTCTTTGGATCCTCCACTCTCTTCTCCCGCATCTCCAGAGGGTCTGGTGAAATGGAAGTAGGTGTTAATGCTCCACCAGGAGGGTCACCCTTTCTCATGAGTTGACAAAGTATCTTTTGATTGAGGCAGGTTAATTAAAACTCATTTAGATGCATTTGTGTCTATCTGGAAGACTGGGGTCACAGATGTAGAGGGTAAATGAAGCTAAGAACTAAGAGCTTCCTGTTTAAATTGATGGCGAGTGGAGAGGTGGACAAGGACCACCCTCACCTTCTCCAGCCAAGGGGAGAGACTGGAAGTGGTTTGACTCATCCTTCAGTCTTCACCACGATTCCTGCTTTTTCTGCCAGCTTTCATTCATCACTTGAAATTAAAATCTCCAGGGTATTGGTTTCTAATCCAAATGTTTGCTTCAGAAAGACTTCTTAGACAGGACACCAAAAACGCAATCAAAACACAAATTGATAAATTGTACTTCGTTGAAATTAAAAATGTCTGTTCTTCAAAATGGTTGCCTCTGAAACAAAGATGTATCCTTTTCCTCTCACCAGAACAGTCTACTCTGATAGGGGTTCTGGGTGGGAAATGTATTTGTATAGAATAATTTTGGGTGCTTTTCAGCAGTGACATATCCCAGCCCATTTTCCCTAAGTCCAAACAGTCCACAATTACATCAATGAAAGTGTGAATATTTTTGATTTATTATCAAACTAACATTTTATTTTCCTCTCAGGGAATCTTTTATGTTCTCTTTCCTCTAAAGCTTCCCTTAGTAAAATATTGAGGATTTATGCACTCCCTCCCTCCCCACTCCCACAAATCCCCTTTAGAAAAAAGGAATTTCAGACCTTGAGTCCATTGCCAGTGATTAAGAAACTAAAGAATGGTTCTAATTTCCTAAGGTTCTCAGAAAGAAAACTAAAGTGAAATAAAAATGGTGTTTCCCTATTTCCCCAAACCTTAACATGATTTTGGGTTTTTTTTGCCAAAAAGAGAGAGAGAGAGAGGATGGAGTGGAGACCAAAAATGTTCTAGTATTGAATTAAGAGTGCTGTCTAGGATAAAATAATTTAATGAGCTTTTTCTGTGATTTTGTTGTTGCTGACGTTGGTGGCTTAAGGAAACAAATAGAATAAGTTTATTTATAGAAAGGGCAAGAGAGACAAAAGGATACAACGCCTAATCTGAGCAAGGAGAAGAAAGAAGTTAATATTCATACTTGATCTTTAAGATGTGTCTGAGCAATGAAGTCATCAACATAGCTCTGCTTTCTGAAACTTGGGTTTCTTTTAATAAGTAAAAAAATAAAAAGTCCCTGTCCATTGATTCCTTTAGTATCACACAAGTGGTTCTTCTGGGGACAAAATTAATTAATTATCCTAAAGATTTTTTTTTTTTTTCGCCTTTAAACAGGCCTGCTCATTTATCTTCTTCCCCTTTGGCTTGAGAGAGCAATTATCTATTCATGTGCTCCCTGGGTACCAGAGGCCACTTTAGTTAAAGACCTTGTCAACAAGCCATGCAAAGGGTTAACCTTCCAGATGGAACTTAAACCTACTCGTCTTTTGAATATTTCATTCTAGCTTTCCACAGCTGAGGCATAAGCTTGGCTTGTTTTAATTAAATTAGATCACACAAGACAGGTGTCTTGGCAGTAAAATTGTGCACAGCCCATTTTTATCTCATTAACTGCAGTGCTCATCAAGGGTTTGTGTTTTTCTTTCTCAAAACTCTAGGTAAACCAGTGATGATCATAACAGAGTACATGGAGAATGGCTCTTTGGATGCATTCCTCAGGGTATGTGACTGCTTTATATTAAACCCAAGAATGTTGGTATTCAGGAAACTCTTACAGACTCCTTGCATCCGTTGTATTTGGTGGCATTTCTTAATGGGGCAAAGGAAGAAGGGGAGAAATAGAGAATGATGTGATTTTTAAAGACTAGTAGAAAATCCATGTATTTGATTTATTCTTATATTGTGGTACTGTTTGAGTCTTAGATTCCTTACAGTTGGATAATTTCCATCTGTCACAGGAAGCAAACCCAGCTTCTCGGATATACTCACTTTACTAGTGAATTAGTGACTTTGGTCAAAAAGGCCCAGAAATAATGTTTAATTTGATTGCATCCTGGATACAGCTATCAGAAAAGGTTCAAGTAATAGAAATGCTTGGCAAACATTAGTTTGGCCTAAAGCTAATGAGATTGTTCCCCCTTCCTTTATATGCAGAAGAATGACGGCAGATTCACAGTCATTCAGCTGGTGGGCATGCTTCGTGGCATTGGGTCTGGGATGAAGTACTTATCTGATATGAGCTATGTGCATCGAGATCTGGCTGCACGGAACATTCTGGTAAATAGCAACTTGGTCTGCAAAGTGTCCGATTTTGGCATGTCCCGAGTACTGGAGGATGATCCGGAAGCAGCTTATACCACAAGGGTAAGGAGGATTTGCAACCTCTGGGTTTTCACTCTGATGAAACTGTTCCACTCTGCTTGCTTTGATGCTTCAGTCCTCTGTGACTACAATAGGCTCATCATCCTTCAGAGCCTCTTCAGAGCCATGCATCCAGTTTTATAGCATGTTTCCTAGTCACTTTACAAAGCCACAAAGTAGCCCTTCACTTACTGTATTTTTTTTTACACTTAATTTTTCTTCCCCTTCCTCCCTCCCTCCCACCCTTCCTGCTTTCTTCATTTTTTTTTTTTTTTTTTTTTTTTTTTAGGTTTTCTATTTGGTTCTTTTTTATTATTAAAAATAACCTTATTTTAAACAGCACAGAGCATTGTTTCTAGCTGTTTGGCTACCAGCTCTGAGAGTTTATATACAGGATTTATAAAGCATTTACACTATGCAGGGTTTTCCAGTATCTAATGGCCTTCATTTTACTACTGGTAGATAAGCCAGGATTAGAGGGCAGTTAAGAGTTATCAGTATACAGTTAATGGCTGTGCTATCTTAGCTGGGCCATCAGAATATAAGATACTAATGGAATAAGCACAGAATCATAAAAGTTATTGGCCATTAAGGCTGACACTGTTAAAATCAACATGAAGCAGACAGTTACCAGGCATTTAATGCTTACATTTTGCATCTGCAATCCTAACCATTGGTCCTTTTTTTGTTTGTTGTCTGGTTAGTTATTGTTTTTTCTTGTATTGTTCAGTTTCTTTGGTTCTAGTTTTGATTCTTACATATATCTTCTTTTGAATTCCAAGTGCATTCATTTAGGAAATAATGCATCTTTGTGAATATTGGGGATCTTTTATTTTGTCCCAGTAGTTAGAGAGAGAGAAATTAGAGGAGCCGTCTAGAATGATGCATTTACATAGATAAAACCTTAGCAAATTATTTAAGGAAGGCAGAGGCAGCCCAAGTGTCCCGTATGTCACACTTTTAAATGTGATGCACTAAGTTTTCAGAGTAAATGACAGTGAATCAGTGCAATTGCCAGTACAATATATGTCCTGTTTATAGTAGCCCTAATAAAGCAAACTTTTAAATGATGGCCTCTTGAACAGCTTAAGGTTATGAATTCAAGTTGAATTAATTTCCCCGGATGGAGCGCTAGGAAATATGAAACTGTATTAAAAAAGACACTTGGGGCAGTGGGGGGGGGGGGGGGGGGGGGAGCATTTTTAACAGTCAATTGCTTTACCAATTTTGCAGGTGTTTTCTTTTTTAATTAGATGGTAACCAAAATCCTGCCCTCACTTTATTAAAGTCGATAATGGCTCTAGCATCTGCCATTATTTGGCTTCCTCTAAGAGCCTATTTAGTGTTCTCTCCTAGCTGTGTTAGGCATGTTTCTCATACGGTGTAAGAGTAGGAGGAGAATGTGAATGATAAAAATTTTCATTTTAACTTCTTAGTTCATGATTTTAGGAGCAAAATTAAATATTGCCTTTGTGCTGCTGGGTGACAGAATTTAACAAGAAGTCAAAAGGAATATCAGCTGCACATCTATTGCTATGCCATAGTTAACACATACCTCCTAAAACCTGAGATTCCTTTTCCTCTACAACATCTCCTCGAGCAGAGCTTATAGGTAGGCTTTTAAAAAATAATTAAACTGATTACTTGTTCACGTCCCTGTGACAAAAGAAAACATCTGAGGAAAACTGTCTCTACATGGAAGACTTTAGTTAAAATAAACAAATCTCTTGTTATTGTTTGGAGAGCTATCTCAGGAATGCTTTTGTCCTGCTTGGCAAACATTAAAGACATTCAGAATCACAAATGGCACATCAGTAAAGTACTTTGGGAATAACTTATGGCTCGAATGTTCATAGGGTGGCAAGATTCCTATCCGGTGGACTGCGCCAGAAGCAATTGCCTATCGTAAATTCACATCAGCAAGTGATGTATGGAGCTACGGAATCGTTATGTGGGAAGTGATGTCGTATGGAGAGAGACCCTATTGGGATATGTCCAATCAAGACGTGAGTCTTTATGTTCTGAAATATATGCCTTAGCATTGAGATTCAGGAAGTTTCGCATTAGTGTATGATGGAGTGCATGTTGAGCTTGAAATGATACATTAAACTCAGGGTTCTTAATAAAAATGTGTCTAGTAATATAGTTAAACCTTATGGTGTTAGATTTCAAGGACCAAAATTACTATAGCCTAAGTGTTATCATTTGGGAGATGGATCATATAGATAGATTTAGATAGATGCATAGAGTCGTAAAGACATGGAGCAGTATTTGAACTTGGGTAACTTCCAAATTCATACTGAAACAAAATTAAACTTTGAATTTGAAGAAAATGCAAGGATATATGAAAAACACACATTTCACATGTGATCAAATTGACATGAAAGGTTTATTTTGAGAAAACTAGTGAATATTTTAAAGCTGACAGAGTTGTAATTAGAGCTTGCCCCTTGAGGACTCTAAAATAAAGCTTCACTAAATGACCCTTTGTAAATTATGCACATCCCTTTAAATGTACCATCTGGACTACTTCGTAAGGGAGTATCCACAATGCCTGCAATTTCAGTAAAGCATTCAATAATGACACTAATAAGATTCCAGAGTAATAGAATTTAATTACAAACATCTCCAGTGAGAAAGGGCCAAAAAAAGAAAAGAAAAAACCCTACAGCAGTGGGTTCCTAGAACACGTATTTGCTAATTCTGAAAAGGTTTTAGTTCTGGGGTTGGAAGTCAGATCACAATAAAATGAACACTCTTTGAACTTTAAAAATTATTTTAATATATGAGGTAAAATATTAGCACAGAGTGTTTATAGATTCATGGTATTCAATATCAATAGAAAGTATATTTTAGGAAAAGTCATCTTTTAAAAAATTCTCTCTGAGGTGGAATGTTACCTGACCATCTGTCATGTCCTGAAACACAGGGACTTGCACAGCCTTGACAATTCAATGAAGAACCAGGTGTACTTAAGAAGCAGAATGCTGTTGCCTTATCAATAAAAGGATGTTCAGCGCAATAGAGAAGCTAATGAACTCCATGTCTAGTGGGGCAAAAAGAATTCCCTAACCAGATTAAGAGGAATGGTTGTGTTGACATTGGATTATCTGTAAATTGTAAAGGAAGGTTGGTAGCAGATGGGAGGAAAGACAGCAGCTAGCATAACTGATAATTGCAAACTGGAAAAGGCTGTAGAGGTGAAGGGTGTGCAATCTATTGTTTGATGTGACTATGCTATTATGCATATACCTTCAAGTACCTTTCCTGTAGCAACATTTGGTTTAGGGTTAGAGATTTTTGGAGGGACAAGGACAAACAACCTAAGTGAGTAAGTGATGTGTGTATTTACTTATTTAATTATTTTATATTTAAACTTTCCCCTTTTTTAAATTGAGAGTCATGGCCAAATGCTCATAACAGCAGTTTGTCTAAAGATGTTGTTAGTTTCCCTGCCTAAGTATTTTTAGAACCTGTAGTCTTGATAGTTTCTATATTACATTAAAATCATTTTGGTTGTTTTAAATTTTTAGTTGTCTGGCTTTATCCCCGAAAAAGCATCTGAAGCTGCTTTTCTCTGCAAATAACATTGATCTAGCATTCATGTGTATTTGTGTTCATGTTGGATTCTGTGTAGAACAGGAATCAATAGGAAATGTAACTGGAAAATTACTTTGCTGAGTAGAATTTGGCATATGGTGAATGAGTCAAAGTAGCTGTTGAAAATATGTCAAACTTATCAAGATTTTTGTTGGTTTTAATCCTCTGCCCTCCAAAACATTCAGCAGTAAACTGAGAAAATATGCTTTGCTAACCCACAAGTCATCTTGCAAGCTGGCAGTGGATAGAGAGCTAATGAAGGAGTATTAAACAGTCTGAGAGATTATAAGAAATTGTGTTACCCCGGCATTAGCCCGATGTTGCTTGCATTGTCATCAGTTCAATATAAAACATTTTCCTCAAGTCTAGAGCCAACACCATGCACCTGGAAAGATAAAAGAAAGTGAGGGAATCAATGTGATTACCTAATGTGATTACCGGAAATAAGAATAATGTTCAGTAAGATAGCATATAGAAGTCTACTTTAGGAGAACTAAATACATACTAATACAACAGGATGTTGGCAAAAAAAAAAAAAAAGGGGGGGGGGGGGGGGGGGGGGAGGATCACAGGCCTTGACAAATCACCAGATGATTGTTAAACTGAAACAGTGTGCTGGTTAAAAAGACAAGAAGTCATATTGGTATGTAGAAACTGTACCCAACTGAACTGACCATGTTGTGTTGAAGGCTAATTGTTCAGCAGCAAATAGACCCACCACAGGGTGAATGCAGTGTGGTCATTGAGATGGCTACAGCCACTGGTCGTTTCCTTAGCAACTATCACTTTGGTGGGAAAGGGGCTGGAGTGGAAAGACTGATTTGAAACAAATAAAACTTTAAAAAATCCCCAAACAGGCAAAAGCACCTCCAGAATCTCATAGGATACCCATAAACAAAGTTTATGAGTCGCCAAGAAATTATGAAGTAATTCCCCTCTTTAAATTTGGCATGAGTCATGCTGTATTGCATTACTGGGATTTACGCCATGAAGAAGGGGGGTTTAGAGAAAAGTCAATAAGAAAAATAAGTAATACCTGTGAAGACAGATTAGGAAAATTAGAATTAGAAAAAAGACTGTTGAATGATTTATTTATGGCTCACTAGACAGCGAGACCACTCTGGGTAGTAAGACAATTATTATCTACATTATAACTTTTTTCCTTAGATGTGCCTGTGACCCCTTTAACATAGAAATGCCTAAAAGAAGATGAAAAATGTCTTAGCTGTCACTTTAAAAAAAATATGCTACTCCTTTAACAGGGTCAAATGATAGCCAAATAAGATGAAGAAAGAGGTACAGAATTGGCATAATGGTGTATTGTGGTCTCCCAAAAGTAGAAAAGGCTGGGCATCTAGAAAGATCGAGAGGTGTGCTATTTCAGAGGTTGGCAGCGTCTTCTGGGTTGGGAGTCAGGGAGGTGGTCTCTGATTTTGACCCATTAGCTGTCTGAGCAAGAAGATACAGGCTTAAAACGATGTAAAGAGACTTGCATTTTGAAGGGAGCTATTAATAATACTTCCTATGGGAGGCCTTTAACAAGGTTAGGGTCTCTTTTTCCTAAGAGTATTTTGCAGATGCTTGGGAACAGAGTGAAGAAAGTCATTGCCCTGTGATAGCTGAGGGTCAGACCAACACCAGTTACTGATCTAATTGGGTTCTAATAACTGGAACATTGATGCATCTTCACTTGAGAGCTTCAGGTTGGCTTGGCCTGCCATTTGAGAACACCTCATAGCAACAGCAGGCTTGCCTACCCTGTTGCCAGCAATAGGCAGGTCTAGCTTGGCTTCTGTGAAGGAACTGGAGATGTTCCCATGCTCAAGCTTGCTGGAAGCTTAATGTGCAGGGAACTTGCCCATCAGGAGGGTGAACAGCTAACAACAGCTTGCCTGGCAGCTTAACATATCATCCTGTTTTCTTCAATAGGTGATTAAAGCCATTGAGGAAGGCTATCGGCTACCCCCTCCAATGGACTGTCCAATCTCACTCCACCAGCTGATGTTAGATTGCTGGCAGAAGGAGAGGAGTGACAGGCCTAAATTTGGGCAGATTGTCAACATGTTGGACAAACTCATCCGCAACCCCAGCAGCTTGAAGAGGACGGGAACCGAGAGCTCCAGGTGAGCCATGCTTACTTAATAGTGATGTATGAAAGAAAACATTAGAGATGGCAGGCCAATGGTGACTCACGTTAATTCCTGCCTCTTAATAAGAGGTCACTTCATAGCTCTCTGCAACTTGGGTGGTTTCTTCCTCAATTAGTGAAGTATTTATGGTAGTTCACTTTACCATTTTGAAGAGCCAAATATCTGTCAGGCCTCAAGGAATAGTTAGAAAAACAAATTTAAAACAACAACACAGCAACAACAAAATAACTAAAGTGCTTATTTTATGATGTTGGACATGGACATTTTGAAAGAGGGATGAAATGTACTTTTGGAAGACATTCAGGTTGCTAGATGCCATATTTTGAAAAGGGAAAGGAATATTGTGTTTGTGAAAAGTAAGGATTAGAGGACGGCTCTCTGTGCACTGCAATTTTAAGTTGACTTATAAGTAAAGTGTTAATTGTCACAAGAGATGCCTTAGGTTTCAGTTCTTAAAGTTTTTCTTTTATGAGTCTTCAAGAGTAGCAGGAAACAGGACCAAAATAGAAACTGATCAAGTTACAAAGCATGCAGACAAATGTTTGAGATGGGTTTTAAAAACTACAGTGATTGCACCACCTGTAAAAGAGGTAGTTATTTCATTGGGAAGAGGAAATTTAAGTGTATCAGTCCAGAAAGAAGATAAAGATATTGCAAGTTCTGTAGTTCAATGGGGACTTTTTTTCACGGGGTTGAGCTTTACTGGCTTACCAGCTCCATGGAAAAAAGTATAGACCATCTTTATCAGTTACATGATTTAAGAGACAGGCACAATAAGACCAGGTGGCTCAGGCATGCATACGGTGAGGCATCTATTCATTTCCAAGTCTGCATTTCTCAAAAGTGTCTCTTTCATCATGACCCCAAGTTAAAAGCAGGAGGACATTTTCTCCACGATATGCAAGCCCTTCCTCTCTTGGCCCCATTATGATGTTCTCCTCTAGTCTTTCTCCTGAAACCTTAAGCCTAAATATTGCAGATGAGAAGGACTACACTTATTATTATAATGCATGAAAAAAATTTGGAGCGAACAGCAGTGGTACCTTCTGTTCTCTTTTAGGCTTTCAGATCCTTTAGCATTGGCCACTATACAAAGAGCTCAGTGGTCAAGCTCTTCTGCAAAAACATCCAGCTGAATTCACATCTTTCTCCTGCCAGTTGGTAGCTATGTGACCTAAAACAAATCTAACATTTCTGGGCTAGTTTCTGTTCTTCTGTTCACTGAGAGGGTAAAAACAGACAGCTCTAAAGCCAAGTTTCCATGTAGCTGGCTTCTCCTATTTCTACGTTAACCTCCAGCTTTTACATCTCCAGCTCCAGTGCCCATGTGTTATGTCTGAGAGTCCTAAAGCCAGTGCTTGGAACTTCTGATAGCGTCAACTATTTAACTATTGATATTCCATAATGTGTGCTTAGCGCCAAAGTTCAGGAAAAAATGAGTTATTGGATATACTTTTCTCAATGCTAATTTTTTTCACTGATGGTACTTGAGTAGCTTTAATGCTTATCACCACTTGCTGATAATGGGGTGTAGTATAACATATGTTACTGAGCACAAAATTAGGCAAATGTCATGGTGTTCCACAGAGAGCACAAAGACTTCCAGAACATACTTGAGAGTATCTGTTGGAGTGTATTGATATGGAGTGAGGATATTTTCATCCTAAGGTCATTTTGACCTTCTCAGGCACCTAGAGTTTACACGTTGCCTATTAATGTTCTTGGCATAAAGTTAGAAGCAAATGCAAACTGTTGCTCTTTGTTTGATATGAATATTTAAATTGATAAACATTCAACACTGATATATAAAATTCTGAGTGTTAATATTTGTTATTGACTCGAAATTGGGAGAATAATTAAATCTTGATTATTCTTGTCATAAAAATATGTAGAATTTTACTTACAAAATTGGATATAATTGAAACAATGGACACAAAAGATAGGTCACAAAGGCAAGCTAATATCTGGGCTCAGAACTAACTGATAAAACAAGTCTTTGTTAAAATATTTACATAAAAAAGAAGTAATGCAAATAAAAATAACTGGTAAAATTAAAATAAAGAATGGAATTGGATTAATTCTGCTATATAGAAAATGAATCAAGGCATTAGTTTGACTTAATTTTGTTTTTACAAGAAAAGAATATTTTTGGGTGAAAATTCAGTCAGGATGATAAACTTCTGATTTAAACACTTACATTCAAACAACATAGTCTCAGAATGAAAATCATGTCAAACTGTTAAGGTGAAATTCATTCCATAATTTGTAGAGAAAAGGGAACTTTAAGAAAATAAAACTTAAGTAGCGGTGTTACTATAGAAGTAATTATAGTAAGGGTGGTACAGACTACCCTTTGGAGGTCTACCTTGTGATTATTGCGTATTTTGATGATGAAGATAACTACGAGTCAGTTACTAAATACTTTCCATTAATAGGTGATTTATTATATATCAAAACTATGAAGAATGGCAGAATTCCTGCCTTGAACTATAGCTGTTCTTAACAATGACCTCATATCACACACCTGGCCTGAGAAATGTGTAAACTAATAACTAAGTTAATAAAATGTGCTCAGATTTTGTGGAAATGATTATTTAGGAGCCCCTGCAAGGGAATACAGAAGCACATTCCACAGTCTAAACAGTGATCAAAGTGGCCATTCTTCCTTCCAGTCTTGGCATGCGTGCTGGTCAGGCATGGGTTGATTAAAGGGGATTAACTCCCTGCTGTCCCAAGTTTTTTTCGAATCCACCGAGACTGCCTGTAAACCTGGCTCGAAGCACGTTAGACTTGAACTCTTGCTGCTTTCTCCTTCCATCAAGTCTGGCAGACTGAAGCTCGGTTTTCCTTACTCATACTCCGCTAGGGTTTCCATAGTTGCTGCACTAAAGTCTATAATATTCAGTGCTGGCAGGGACTGGACTCTTTCTGCAAAGACAATCAATTTCAGCCACAAAGACTCCCCCAATCCTTACCCCAGGCTAGTATGTTAAAAACAAAACAAAACAACTGCTATGATTATTAATGCACTAAGAGGTTCACATGAAACAAATGTGGGACATGAAATTAAGAACAAATCGGGCGATTGATACTTTTTTTAGAAGCTTTGTGAAATTGGGAGCAAAAATAATCACAGTGGCATTTGACGATGTTTACTCTTGGTGTTTTAGTTCCCCTTGTCTGTCTCAGGCAATTTGACTTCTGAGTCTTGCTGTTTCACTGATAGCTCTGTCTACAATTTCTTGTTCCATTTCCAGACCCAACACTGCCTTGTTGGATCCAAGCTCCCCTGAATTCTCCGCCGTGGTATCGGTGGGCGACTGGCTGCAGGCCATTAAAATGGACCGGTATAAGGATAATTTCACAGCTGCTGGTTATACCACACTAGAGGCTGTGGTGCACATGAACCAGGAGTAAGTACTCAGCGATGTAACACAAAAGGGTAAATCTAGATTTAATAGTATTTTCCTGTTTTTGCTTTGAGCTGCATAATCATCCTGCCCATTTGAAAAACACACACACACAACACTGGAATGCCTTTCATTTTGATTGAGTCTAATTTTACACAGCCTTTATAAAGCACCTACATTGTTGCATTAAATTGCTTAATTAAACATCTTAATACACCTGCCTTGTTGTGCTGTATGAATTGTGGCTGATTCAGATGTGTGTCTGCATGAAGCCCAGAAGAGAGGTTCTCAGCCCTCGTAACGTTACTCTCCCTCTGTTTTCTCTCCCTCCCACCCCCCCGCCACCCCTGTATAGCGACCTGGCACGAATTGGCATCACAGCTGTCACCCACCAGAATAAGATTTTGAGCAGCGTCCAGGCGATGCGAACCCAGATGCAGCAGATACACGGCAGGATGGTTCCCGTCTGAGCCAGTACTGAATAAACTCAAAACTCTTGAAATTAGTTTACCTCATCCATGCACTTTAATTGAAGAACTGCACTTTTTTTACTTCGTCTTCGCCCTCTGAAATTAAAAAACAAAAACAAAATCGAAAAACCTATCTGCAGTGTTGCTTGGTGTACAGAATGCTGGAAAATGGGGCTCACAGAAATGACCAGTGTCATTTGAATTCGACCTGGAACAAATTGTTTCTCAGAAGTACTGGGTCCATCGCCAGTTTGTAAAATACACATACCTGTGCAAATAGGACTCCGCCTCTGAGTTTTGATGCTGTACCTGCTGCCGGACACTGGGCTTTCTTGAGACATCCTGATCCTCACTCCATTTGGAATTACAACTAGTATTTTGTGTGTGGCATAAATGACAGTCCTCCTTTCACTGGAATGAAGGCCATGCCCAGGAACATTTTTGAAAGACTCACTTGTAGCTATTAAGGCTTGGCTCATGCCAGGGGGAAGAACACAGGTGAAAACCGGGTGGCTCATCAGTGTAGTTCCTCAAAGCTCAGGCCACCTGGTGGATTGTGATGCCATGAGGGGATGGAAAGAAAAAGAAAGTGGATTTAAAAATAATAATAATAATAAACCCCAAACACCCTACATCCCTGACTGGACAAACGAGGTCTGTTTCTTTGGGCCTGAGGCTGTGCCATAGAGTCGTATTTTGGGACTCTACAAACTTACCGTAACTACCTTACGGATAGTGGACTGTGACAATCTTGAATAGGGAATGTTCACACTTCCCTTCTTTAAAGAAGCAAACCCAAATCTCCAAGGTAAGGCCAACACAAAATGAAAAAAAAAGCAATGAATTCTTCTCTGATGAAAACATCGTTTTTTGAAACTTGATCTTATTTGAAACATTGAGTAGAAAATAAGTTTTCAGGTCTGTCAGGTAGTTTGGGGTTCTTTCAGTATTTCAATCCTCTCTTCACAGCGGGAGAGAAGACCAAAACCAATATGGCTTCCCTTCTGTTCTTCCAGGAAGAAGTGAAATAAGAGCCATATTTGATCAGGTACAAGAGGATGAACCTGTACTGCTGTGCTTTCTCTTATACAGGATTCCTCTGGCCATTTGGTGCCCTTCATGACACACATACTTATTGAGCTTCTTCTGGGTACCAGGCAGTAACCTCAAACCTTGCTGGGTCATACACATGCCCCACTCTTTAGAGAGTTTGCTTCAGTTGAGAATCCTTTCCATTAGTCTTATTTTTATGTCCTGCTTGTAGTCCTTTTATCAAACAGAGTAGCAAGGGAGGATGTACCTAGATGTCAGTGGTGAGACTTGGAACTCACCTTGAGTTCCTCATTATCAGAAAGTTACCTAATAAAAAATGTGTAAGATGCTTCTATTTTAATCCTGGAATTTTCTTCTTGAAACATGTAAAATAAATAATTTTCTTCATTCCTAGAAGCCAACAGCCTAACTTTTTTTTGACTAGACAAATTTTAACTTTTTTGACTTCCATTGTTATCACTATTAAACAACAGCTTGGCTGATTTTAATAACCTATTTCCCTCTCCTTAGTTTTATCCTGAAAGCTATTTCTTATAGAGCAAAGAATGTTAAATTTGATGCTGTCAAATCATGACAGTTTAGTACAAAACCTTTTGCAACATGAGTTGTAAAAGCTTTTTTGTTCAGAAAAAAATATGAAATTTGTTTAAACTGCTTCAACAATTTTTATTTCATCACCACTTTTGCTAAAGTCTGGGAGTTCTGGATATTCATGTTAAAAGTTGACAAATGTAGATAATGCAGATGGGGGTTTGTTTGGTTTTCAAAAAGTTTATATATTTTTTTCTTTTAGCAAAGCTGTTGAGTATTTTATATTCAACTAGAGGCCTGGTGCACTGATTCATGTACTGGTGGGGTCCCTTAGCCTGGCCTGTGGGGATTGGGCTGAAACCGATCTCTGTGTCTGGGGTGCGGGTGAAGCAGATTCGGGGCCAACAGTGCCCCAGCAGCAACCTAACCCATGGCAGATTCCTGGAGGAATCAGGCTCCCTCCTTTACTGGTTAGAGCGTCTGCCCCCTGGTGGTCATTGCATATCACAGCTACTGGTCGAATGGTCGGACGGTCACTTAGGTTTTTATATATATACTAGAGGCCTGATGCACAAAGATTCGTGCAAGAATAGGCCTTCCTTCTCCTGGCTGCTGGCACGGGTTTCCCTCCGGCACCCAGGACCTGGGCCTTCGCTCTGGCCACCGCCTCCCACCTTTGCTCCGGGCCCAGGCTCTGCCTCCCACCTTTGCTCCGGGCCCAGGTGCTGCCTCCCACCTTTGCTCCAGGGCCGAGATCCACCTCCCGCCTTCGCTCCAGGGCTGGGAGCCACCTCCCACCTTCACTCTGGGCCAGCCGCATCCATTTTGTTGCGTTATTTTGCATATTCCCTCCTTATTGGCTGTGGGAACCACCATCTTTGTCGCAAAGTGACAGTCAATTTGCATATTCATCTTTATTAGATAGGATAGACCTTCGCAGACTGATTCAGATAAGACAGCATTATGGCATTATCTTATAAGTAAAAAGAGAACAATATTTGCCCTGGCCAGTTTGGCTAAGTGGATAGAGCATCGGCCTGTGGACCAAAGGGTCCCAGGTTTGATTCTGGTCAAGAGCATGTACCTTGGTTGCAGGCTCCTTCTTGACAGCCCGGGCCCTGGTTGAGGCTTTTACAAGAGGCAACCAATGGATGTGTTTCTCTCACATTGATGTTTCTGTCTTTCCCTCTCTCTCCCACTCTCCCTAAAAATCAATTGAAAAATATCATTGGGTGAGGAGTAACAAAACAAACAAACAAACAAACAAACAAACAAAAAAATAGGCCAGAGAGAGAGAAAGAGAACATTGCCTTGCATATATTGAATAGTTAAAATGTTTTGCTTTCTTAAATTCAAGAACTTAAGACCTGAAATATTTTTCTAAACATTGAACATACTCAAAGCAGAATATTTTAAAGGAGAGAATGTCAATTCTAATATATTCTATGCTAGTAGAAAAGAATACCTACTTTCTCAGTAGGTATCTCTTTAAATGAGATTATTGGGCAGGGATTGAAAGAAAGGTGTATGAGACTTTCATTCAAAGGCTGCCTTCTGAATCTTAATTTTGATGCATGACAGATTTAGAATGCAGGCCAGTGGAAAAGCCAACAGAGGACTTTCCAAGTGTCTAAAATCATATCCAGTAGCAATAAGAGTGTTAATGCCAGGACTTCCACACAGTTACACATTTTGGAAGAGCAATGTGAGCACAATAAAAAGGTTGCATTGTTTCCCAGGGTGTGGAGCCAGACTCTGGCATGCATACAGCTATGGATTCTAAAGCCAACTGAGATGTTGACACTGGGAAATGCACTCCATGTTTCTTTATAACTCAGTTCCTCCACCTGTAAATTACAGATAATGACACTTTAATAATAACTCCTTTCCTAGCATGTGCTATTGTAAGTGTATATAAAGTACTCTTACATGGGACACACTGAACTTCACATAAGAGAAGTGTACCAAGTGTTATTCATCCATCTTTCACTGCGAATCCACATGTTTTATTGTGACACATCAGAGTGGAGTGAAATGAAGTTTAGTGGTAGGAAGCCATGCAGATGAAGCTTCTTCACTTTATATGGTTTTAGAGTGTTTGGGGGTAAATGTATATCTATACAAAAAGTGGTAGACCTATTAAATTATTCCTGTTCCTGTGTTATTTAGCTTTAGAAATTGATGGAATTTTTTTTTTTTTTAATAATGGAAAGAGTGAAACGCACAAATAAGACTCCTTTGCAATGAAAGGAACTGGATACTAATGACACTTTGATGTCTTCATGATTGACTCAAAGGACAATGCTTTGTTTATTTAGTCACAATGAAAGTCACATTTTTTACCGATGATCCCACATGGACCACATGCTTTGTCTGGTCTCTGTTCTAGCAATTCCCCTTGATAAAGGAGTTGCCTGAATTCAAAGGAGAAAAGAAGGTTTATTTTTCTGCACTCTTTCTGGCATGAAGTAGACATAAGCCTTCACATTACCACACTTCTCACTTCAAACATCCAACCCTTTTCACATACACAGTGTCCCCAAATAGCCCACTTAATATTACAAATATATTTATATAATACATATTTATATCTAGGTGTTGAGAAGAAGGGATTGGCAAGCTGAAAGGAGACATGTGTTTTGGAAACTACACTTTCTCCTAAGAATGGAATTTCTATTAGCAAAATATCCTCTACAAAATGTTTGCATATCCATATGGTGTTGGTTGTACTGCATCAGAGTCTTAAGATCATATTCATGTTCTCCTTTTCTTTCATATAAATACATGCCTGCCCAATGAAATCCCTTTACATTCAGGTTGCAAAGCTACATTTGATAGACTTACTGATTTTCAGAGAAGAAACGGTGGGAAAAACAGATCCGATCCTTTTTCTTTCTTTTATTTTCATAACTGTCAAAAATGATGTTGACAAATGGCTTCTTAAAGACCTTGGTAATTATACCCTTATCCACATTTATAGTTTTTAATTTCTTAAGAAGTAATTTCTATACTATTTTATAAGAAAACTTTATTTATCTCTTTCCAAACAGATTAAAGTATTTTCTACAAGTTTAAATAATGGTCATCTACCTCAAAGAAACTAAATTTTATTTATCTCCTTCACACAATATATATATATATATACAAGCAAATAAATCAATGGTTTAATAAAATGAGCAAATTTATCTGTAAAGATAAATTTTGGCCTTAATCCTTGCTCTACATTTGAGGCCAACTGCCAAGCATGGACACTGGGGTGGGAGATATAGACCAAGAAGCAATCTTGACAGTCAGTTGTTGCCAAGACAAGGAAATAGCTTCCTTTGGTTTGAGTTGATTATTTGGCAAATGAGGAGCCCCAGTGATTTAATTATATTGTGCCAGCTTTGTTCAATTCTAGACTGATGGGTCATCTGTAGCAGATTAGTTCTTGGTGAGCTTGAGCCCCCAAGACCACTGTCATTGTTGCACCAAACCTCTCACTGTGTCCATGGCCCCAGGTTCCCTCTGTCTATTCCATGCAGATTGTATTGATCTTTTACTAATTAAATAATCTCATTCATTAGAAGTCATTTTCTTTTCAAGAAAATCATCCAATACTTTTAATTTCTGAGTTTGCATTTTTTCAATTGTATTGTTGGCTCCTGATGGATTGGGATGTTTCCAAATACATATGTTCCCAAGGCATACAGTTTCCCACTTTAGAAAGACTAGATGCTAGTATCCAGGTTTTTACAGTATTACAGTTTGCCTTTCACATCCTCACCAACACAGCCCTTGTCATCTTACACTACTGAACCATACAAGTCATTTCAAAGAGTGGTTGTTCACACACTGCTATAGACATAGACTGTGTGGGTTTCTCTTCCCAGTGTTGTCACTTCAGCATTTATAAATATGAGAAGATAGCATAGCCTCTCTTTGCTTTAATGTCCTCATCAATATAATAGGAATAAGAACTGTATCTTCCTCTAAGTAGTTATAATTAAGCTGCAAATGCACATAATTTTTTGGTTGTCATAGTTGCCATGTTTTTCAGAAGAAATAAGATTTTATGATCTCCCTCCTGGACTACTTACTGAGCCTTACCAAATTCCACGTACCTACATTCTTTCTTACAATATTGGTTGACAACTGGCTGGCTGACAACTTTCTCTAAAGTCTTGTTCTTTTTTCTACAGGGAGTAGATTCTGCTATCTTGGCCTCACAGCCCTTCCTGTTGATTACAAAGCCCACAAAGAAAACAGAACACACCCTTCTTGGTTCCTTAGAAATGTGTTTCTTCTGCTTCTACTATGCCAGTTCTGGAGCAAAGACATTGATGAAACAGCACCCAAATACCTGAAATAAATAAATCTATGACTTTCAAATCCCCTTTCCAGTGAAAGAAGCAGCAAACATTCAAGGTTCGGCATCTATTCTCCGGTTGCACTGAGGAATGTACTGTCTCAAAGCACCAGCTCTGCAGAACCCTTGTTCCCAAACTCCTTGTGGTTTTATTTATATCTATTTCCATATCTCATTGCTGTACATCACTGCTGCATTGGTGTGGCAGCAAGTGACCGAAGGCAACAGGTTTTATTATGGACACCAGGTCAGGTGCCACCACACAACACAAAGCCAGTTCTCATGAACTGCCTATGATATGCATTGCTGAAGTAACATTTTACCCAGGGTGTGCCATTGCAGTGATATAAATATATTTTTTTCCTAGACTAAATATGAGCTGACTATCTGTTTTGATGTGTGTACATAGGTGTGAGTGTGTGTGGATGCGTGTGGATGTATGTGTGTTGTGTGTGTGTGTGTGTGTGTGTGTGTGTGTGTGTGTGTGTAACCTCATGCTTAGAACTGCCTGTGAATGTCGTGGAATGCTACACCTGAAGTGTTCTGGTTTTCCACCAGTTCTGAGATGAAGAGCCACACAAAATAGTGATCTGGAGACCATGCCCATCCCCTTAGAAGGAAACCCAGAAATGTTAAATGTCTGTATTTATGTTGTATTTTATAGCTGCCACACTAACCTTAATAAGTAATTATACAGCTTTGGGCAGAGCATTTTCACCTTAGTGGTGGAGTAATCTTAGAATATAAATATAAACCCATTCAAGTGACAATCCATCTTCAAAGTCACGATTCTGATTGAACTCATCTGAATCACTAGTTCCTTGATGGAGAGAGAGAGAAGGGGATGGAATTTGTCTGGTAATCCCAAATGGAATACAAGTAGCCTTTGTTTTCCTGCATAAATGGACTTGATGAATGCGAACAAATATATGCAATTCATATACTTTTGGAGATGAACGTAGACATGTGTGTCAGCTTTGAGATGATGTGTCCTGGATTAATACTTTGTCTCCCAATGTCACAGAAAAATGTATGCCGGTGACTCTTGAGGTTAGCATAGATGGGATTAAATAGCCTCGAGCAATTTCAGGTTCCCAATTACATGGAAAGTTCTACAATTATTAATATAGAGCTAACTCCTATGGCCCACAAAAGTGCATCAGCCTTCTAGAATCTGAGGTCCACTGTGCAAAGATTCTGTTTTGATATGATATGTATACCAAACTCCAGCCAACATACTGCCATGTTTCATAATTGAGTGGCTGCCTTGCTTATTTTAAGCTATGGTTGCAGAAACTGTGGCCATTTATATAAGCTATAACATCAAATCAGGGAAAAATGGGAAACAAAAGATTCTGAACCCTATATTGTTGAATAAGTAAAAAAAAAATCATCAATAAATATTTATTGCATTCTGACAGGGTGTATGGCATTGTATTCTCAGAACTATGCCAGAGTGACAAAGTTAATTCACCCCTTTTTGGGGACCTTAATATATTTTTAAAGGGATGTGCCTATGCATTAATGCCTGAAAAATATGTATAAAGAAATGAGGTTGAATCTCTGAGCAAGTCACCTTTCCCCAGAGGTAAGGGCAGGAGGCCAGCTTTAGGGACTGGGTCTAGCCCCATGAGTTAGTGCTGACCTAGTGAGTTCAGATCTACCATTAGGAAGCATTAAGCTGATCCCCTGCACCAAATCAAGTAGCTTCACCATGTGTCCACTGGCCCCAAATTATTTTTAACAATTTTATGAATAAAAAGTTCTGGTGTGTTTTAAAAGTTATTTTAAAGAAAGGCTGTGCTCACTACACTGTTGGTGTGTGTGTTTTGAGAGCTCTTGTATTCAATCTGTGAAGGATATGTATATTAATCCATACACGCGTATAGCCTCAATATTTGTCTGAAGACACTTAAATTCTGACCAATAAAGCAAAGTTCTAGAAGCAATATTTTCACTTATTTAACATTCTCCAAACAACATCAAGCATTGATACACACTAAAGAGTGTATTTATTATTTTTTATCACTCCAAGTATGTTGGAATATGCAAGGACTGTGGTTAAAATTAGAATGTATAAGGCATATTATAATTTAGTTCATACTGAAAAATAAATTAACTGAACATTGCTTGGTTCATGTTCCAAAATTTGAGCAATTTCTTGAGTTAGACATAGAATTTCTATTTTGTTTTAATTTGTCAAGATATTTTCTTCCCTTCATAAAACTTAGGTACACATAACTTATGTCACTTATTTATGGTCTTTTATACCTAGTTTGTAAAATTGTAAAATAGCAAACTAAATGCAAAGAGTTTGCATTTGAAAACAATAAAGTAGTTGCCATATTCAAACCTGGAATCTAGTTGTCTCTTCAATACTTTTTGGAATAGATATGGTGGTTCTAAATTAATTAGTTGTTGGTTGTCACTTGGTTAAAACACAAAATTTTACTCTAATTAAACATAGTGAGTGGATCAACAGCATTGACTTCTAAAGGGTCCTCACCCTTGAGAACAACACCTTAGCGACTCTGACTTAGATTCTGTGAGATCCTGTGTCCCATTGTAATAGGACTGACCTTTGGTTGGAATTCAGGCTCCACCTCTTTCTGATCATGCAGTCTAGGGCAAGTTTCTTAACTTCCCTGTGCCCATTTTCTTGTTTGTAGAATGACGGTAAAGGCTAAGTATGTTTAAGCATTAGCACAGTGTCTAACATCAAGCCAGAATTCAGCAAATGGTAGCTATTCTCAGGAGCCTTCTTGATCGTATAAGATGTTTTTTCTAATATTCCCAGTTCTTCACCCTCTCAAACATCTTTGCTGTTGATCCAGGTGACCAGCTACCCATTTTTACCATAGGCTTTTATTCTGGATCCTTGGATCCTTAAATTCTTGAGGGAACATTAGAACTCCAAGGGGTCCAAGAGTCCCTAAAACGGTGCAAATGTGAATGATTATATGTGTATGTGTGTTTGGATGGGGAGAAAATCATACATTTCATTAAGTTCCAAACTGGTCTGTGATACAAAGATATTAAGGCCACAGTTTTAAGGATGAATGTTCTCCTCATGAATGCTCTCCCCATTAAATAAACTATCAATTGACTAAGCCCCTGTTAATTGAAAATGAGATTCAAGAGATAATAATTTATTAACTGAAGCCCTTAAGAGCAGCTGGCTTTAGAGAGTAGGGCCATGCTGTTCATTGTTACCAACAGTGCGCTGAAATGAAAAGAATCTTGATATGTCTGGCTATTTCCTAAACACTTCTCTACAATCAACCATTTTAATATATAAAGTAGTTTACAACATATTTGTGATTTGAAAGAAACTGGGTTTGACCTTTCCCCCCCACACACTTTTTATTAAGATAGAAAGTCAACTATATTAGGATTCTTCAGAGAAATAGAACCAATAGGATAAATCAATATCTCTCTGTGTATGGAGATATATATGTATATATTATAATATCTAATATGTTTATGAGGAATTGGCTCATGCAATTTCATAGGCTGAGAAGTATCATGATCTGTAAGCTGGACACCTAAAAAGCCAGTGGTGTAATTTAGTCCAAGTCCAAAGACCTAAGACCCAACCAAGCCAACGCCCCTATGGCATAATTTGCAGTCCCAGTGCAAGAGAAGATGAGATGTTGCAGCTCAGCAGTGAGGCAGGGAAAAAGCTTTGGGAGGCACTCAGCTTCTACAGAAACCTTTCCCTGACCTACCTTAGGTGCATGGTCCTCCTTGAATTTATGGTACAGACAGGCTAGCTGTTCAACAGTTTTAGTTCTTCCTGTTCACACAAGACTATATTCCCCAGCCTTCAAACCCTTAGGCCCTTGTGATAGGTTTCTGGCTAGTAAGATAAAGGAGGTAGAGATTCAAGCCATTTCCAAGCTTTGCTATAAAGCCTTCAACACAATCGTTCACTTTCCCCCTTATGTGGTGGCCTGAGAGGCCACCTGCTCAACATGGTAGCCTCACAGGAGGGAAGGACCTTGGATCTCTGAGGGACTGCTTGGAAAGATGACAGAAGATGCTCTGGACCTTTATCAGGCTGTGACGTGAGCTAGAAACAAACCTTTAGGTTGTTAAATGCTATGAATATAGAGTCATTCATTACAGAAGCTGAAAACAAGAGAAATGCCTCCTTCCTCTGCATGTTGCTCTATTCAGGGCATCAACAAATTGGATGATGCCCACTGCAGTGGGCAGAGCAATGTACTGAGGCCACTGTTCCAGTTTGCTGATGATGCTACATGCCATGGATAGCAGGTATATACAGAAGTGCATAGTTTTCTAAACATCACTTGCCCATTCCATTATTAGGTCGCTTACTTTTGACCAATTTATCTCGTTGATTATTTTTGTTAAGCTCTAGAGAAATGAACTATAACTTAAGTACAATATTCATCTTACACGCTGTGCTTTGTGAGAATTAATTTCCAAAGTCTACTTTTCCCTAAAAGCAGAGTATAATCTATTATTACTAAGATACCACCATCTAATATAGAGTGAACGAAGAAGTAGTGATTTTCTTTAATTATCATTTTTGTGTTCTCAGCATAAAAGCCATGGACAGCACTTCTCAGATGCCATTCCTCATTTTGATGACAGCCTGTGACAAAGAGAGGCTAGTCATTAACTAAATAGAAACAAAAGATGGGTCCAAAGACAAGAGTAAAATGAAGTGAAGTAGAGGTTTAACATGATATAACAAAGTGCACAGACTTCCATGTGAACCCTGCATCGGCTACTTACTACCGTGTGTCGATGGGAAAATTGCTTAATCTCCCTGAAACTCAGTTTATTCATCTTTAAAATGGGATCAAGACCCTACTTTGTCAGGGTCTTCTGAGAACAAAATATAATCAAGTCTATGGAAAGTTGGAGCTGCAAACACAGATGTTTACATGGGCCAGTTAGGCTATGTGAATAAGTGATACTGTCCAAATATAACCCAATAGAGTGGATAAGTATTTAGATACAACATTAGGTTGATAAGATGTTAAGGAGTATTATTCAGTGAATGGTAGGTTGTGGCCAGGAGGGTTCTATGGTCACATAAGATGGAAAACAGTGGTTCATTCCACTACACACTTTTGGATTTTAATACAGCACATTAGTACATTAAAGGTTCTGGGAAGCTCTGTTGTTAAAACAAACAAACAAACAGAACAAAACAAAAAAACAATTTCACTAGTTTAACCTAACATTTCCCAAATATATTGGAAGATAAAATCCTATAAACATACATGGAATAAAAATCTCTGAAACACATTTTGGACATTCCTTTAGATTTTCAAATAGAAAACTAAAGGAGATAGAGGCAAACAGATGCCTCCTATATTGCATAACTTTCAGCTCAAGTTCCTGAATCCCAGTCACAATGCACCTACATTCTAAGGCATATGCCATGCAGAGTAGCAAGTCCTCATTCAATGTTACTTCATTATAATGTTGATGAGAAAAAAAATTGAATCCAGGCTGGGGCTATTGTCTGTGTGGAGTTTGCACATTCTCCCCAAAAGAGCACTGGCTTCTTTTCCCCTTAGATTGTCAAATTAAAAAAATGACAACAGCCAACACAACAATAGCCATCCAGTGTGAATGCCCTGTCTTGAATCATAAGTATATAGGTTATGTAATAGAGTTGCATCTTATTGGTCACCCCTCATAATAAGGTTGTGTCTGATTAGTTAATTATTAGTACCAGAGCTCCTTATATACAAGTATAGGCACCTGGGGACTCCGGTTTCCTCCCACATCTCAAAGATGCACACATGAGGTGAATTGTGTGTTTAAATTGTCCCAGTCTCTGAGTGTGAGGGTGTGTGTGAGTGGCCCTGCGATAGAAGGGTATCCTGTCCAGGGCGGGGTCTCACATTGCACCCTGAGTTTCCAGGACAGTCTGTGGCCACCCTAGACCCTGAACTGGAATAAGCAGGTTGGAAATTCTTACATGTCTTTATCTTACATGTCTTTATTCATCTTTCTTAGATGTATGTAAAGTTCACATTAATTTCAATGTTTAATATTAGAAATGTGTCGGGTCTTTATTTAGAAGTTTGCTGATGTTTTGTGATCACAAATATGCGGTAGAATTTAACTCTTGTTTATATCAATTCGCCTATGGCAACATTGGTTTTGTTATACGTCATTTTGCTTAAAGTTACAGTTTCCAAGAACCTAATGATGATGTTAAGTGAGGACTTAGAGGTTTGCAGCTGCTTGGAGATTTGCATTTTCCAGGTTTGCAGTTGCTTAGAGATTTGCATTTTCTCCATCGTGGTCTAGTGGTTTCAGTACTGGTTGGGGATAAAACATGTGAGGTGGGGAGATTGGGTTGGATAAATTATGCTACTCGAGAGTATGAATATCAAGTCCTGATATCAGAGCCCCAATAGAAGGTTTAAATCATGAACTGAACCATGTGAGCCAAAGTCATGACCTGGGCTAAGATGTCTGAATTCTTCCAGTCATGGTAAAGAACAAAACGGATTTTGACAATAAAAAAATGCAGAGTACACTTCCATCAACAACTTAATTAAGACTTGTAGCAATATTGTGGGCTTTGGCCTCAGTTATTTTACCCTTTCCTTTTGGAGGAAGTGCCTTGAGCCATCAACTGTTTGCAGTTGAATGGGTAATAGACCCCTGACATATCTTGTTTCTGACAATCTCCCTGGACATAATTCTTTGTTTACATCACTGCTGTAGAAAACTTGATGAATACTTAGAAGAAACTAGAATTAGGACCTAAGGATCTAGTTAAAATCAACTTAGTAGAACATAGACATTGCTTTGTGTAGAGCTGGAAAATATAGCCATGAGAGAAAGTAGCTTTAACATACACCCAGAGAAACTATATATTATACACATAATATGTTAGAGGCAATTATGGCCTAGTAATCTGCAGTGTATCACTACCTAGCAATCAGATTGACGTATTCTAATGAGACCCATGTTGTTTGTAATCAGACTGGCATTGCTTATTCAGATCTCTATTCCATAAGATGCACTTTTAAATGGCTCAGATTGCACCAGATGCTATAAGAAATAGCATTCCATTTTATTCCATTACCAGCATTTTTCCCTCTTCCAATTAGCATAATTTAAAATCAGCCAGAGGCAAATGTGAGGGGCTGAAAAGCTGCAAAAAAGTTCAAGAAATACTTGATAGAAAAATGCAAGAAAACACACATGCACAACAATGTTTTGTGTAGGTAAGGGAACATTACAATTAATAGAGTTGTTTATTCTCTTAAAATGCTCAGATTTTTTTTTCTGGGATTTATTGAAATATTAGAATCACTCAGGGGGCTAATTGCCCGGTAGTTTCTTTTTGCTTATGCA